AAAAAAAACGCAAATGATTATCACATCCTACCTAGATTCTGAGGCACTTTTTGAAGCAATCGAGGGAGGTTCCTTGCTAATGGCCAAGGGAACAGGGGATGAGAAAGGGAGTGCTAAGAAATTGAGCGCAGTTTGCAAGGTTCGTAGCCATCCTCCATCGCATCTTCTTTCTGTTGCCCTCGCGCGGAGTCAAAAATTTTTCCTTTCTTTCCCATGATTCATGTCCTTTATTCTGTTTGCAGTGCTTCAATTCTGTTGCGCGAGTTCTCAATTGAACACCTCCCTACATTGACCAAGGACATACCAGAAATAGTGAATCTCATCATTACCTCAGCTTCTGTGACTACTTATGATCAGATTGCTAAGCAGCTTCTCAGGTACTTTAACTTCTCAGAAGGTTTCTGCATCCTTTCAGTAAACTTTAGAATGCTTCTGTGTGTCATGCAGAGAACGGATGGCCACTTGTGGGGCAGTGTAGTGCAACGATTGCTTTCAGAGTCAGGGAAAGAGGCCAGGTGAGTAGGAGCAAAGAGTCCTTCTCATGATTAATGCTAAGCTTTACCGAACATCCAGTTCATGAGCATGTCTTGTATTTGCAGTCTATTCACGCGGTCATATTTGGATGATGGTCTTTTACTGTTATTAACAGAAGCGCTCAATAGTGGTGCCGTTTCCGCTGATTGCATACCAGTGAGGTTCGGAGATCAACTTTAAAATAGTGTTGCACGCTGCCGTGACAATATTCCTCATAAGTTTCCCTTAACTAGGGTGTTACGTTGTGCCGATCGTTCCTTGCATTCCCCTTCTCACATATGTCGATGTGCAGCAATAGGATTCCATGTTGCTAGAGTAATGAGCAGTGAGTATATCTTTAAATTATTTAGACGTACGAGCACTTAATCTATGAATTTAGGAAGACCAGATTCCAACTCTCTGTTGGTGCTGGAAAAGTTGCTGTGTCAAATGACCACGGACATGGATTCGAGAGTGCGACTCTCAGCTATTGAAGGAATCTCGGCGATGAGCAGAATTGAGGATGGCTTAACGGTCCATGCTTTCAACACAGTCAAAAATGTAAGTGGCAAATGCAGCACTTGTGCATTCAAACTCTCTTCATCAGTTCTTTTCGACTTCGTTAATTTTTAACACCTTTCAGTTTCGGGTGTTTTTCTTTCCTTTTTTCGAACAAGATTTCTGTATGTTCCTGACACTCGGACAGTCATACCTGAAGATTTTTTAAAAAATTTCATACGTAGAGTAGGACTACTGATGGGATTTGCTCCACAATTTTCCTCTTAGAGTAATATGATTAAGTTTGAACCTTTGTCTCAGCCATAATAAGTACTTAAATTTTTTTGTTACACTTTGATAATCGTTGTTTGCAGTTGGTTAGCGATTCTCACAAGCAGGTGCGTATCATCGCTTTGCGTATTCTTCTCATGTTTGCCAATAAGATGCCTAATTTGTAAGCATTGATGTATATGGTTGTTAATATCAGTATCTTGGAAATTCAATTCTTTCTAGTCTGATTGCCAGCAATTTCTCAAACACAAATGACGCAAAACTACAACTTTGTGACGATGCATTCTCTGTAGTTTGCAATGCTGTCAATGATCAGGAGGTTTGAGATACAATTTTATCACTCTCTTATATTTCCGTCAAATTCTACTTCCAGCCTATGGTAAGAACTGAAGCAGCTACCATACTAGGGCAGTTCACTAAAGTTTCTGATGCATTCCTTGAACAAACGCTTGACAAAAAGATGATGAAGACCGTCCAAGTAGGTTTCTAGTAACAGTCTATAGAAAATAAACTTGGCTATTTCTTGGAGGATGCAAGTGGGAGAGAGCAGGTGAAGAAAGTTCATCAATCCAAATTTTCCATCATGCAACCACCTCAGCAACGGGAGTCACGCTGGAAATCTCACTATCAGAGCCAAGCACGTCAAAAGCAGTAAACTCACGTTCTCTCGCTTTTCTCTTGAGTTATATCATGAAGTCTTTCTTAATGTTTACATAGGTATGCTTCGGAATGGTCATCTGGGAAGGAATTGAATGCACGCTGCCCGTCCGCAATAGCTGCCGCGTCGTCTGAAGAAGACTCTGAAAGTATTGTTCCGCGAGGAGCATGCGGTGCTTTCGTAACAGCATTAGAGGATGAATTCATGTGTGAGGTGGATTCATAAGACATCTTCTACCCTCTCTAGTTTTTTTTTTTCAGCTGTGCGTAGAGCAGCTGTCTACTCGCTTGGTCGTTTGGCAGCAAACAGACCAGCATTCGCCACCACTGCTTTGGATCATCTGTCTGATATGTTTAACGACGAGATCGTTGAGGTATCTTCATGCAGAAACATCTTTGTTTTTGTTCATTCTTACTTTCAAGGTCCGTCTCGATGCAATTGCTGCTTTGACTCCGCTAATTGTGCATGGAGAGTTGCAGAAAGAACAACTAGAAACTGTTCTGAAATGCTTAGACGTGAGTTGTACTGAATACCATCCTATTGCTAAAAAATCATTATGTGATACTATACTCTTTACGAAATTTGGGATTTCGCTAAACCTTGTCTAGAGGAAGGGTGATCTGACGTGCTGAAGACTAATATCATATCCGTTTGTGGTAGGAATTTATTGTGGAGATGCAATGGGCGTATGGTATGGGGTTTAAACTGCCAATCTAGCTATAAAATCTAATGGAATTATTTGACATGCTGTTCAGAAATTCCACATCCATTCAGCATGGTAGTGCCTTACTATGGAGATACGGTAGGTGTACAGTAGGAAGTCAAAATCACAAATCCACGAAAAAGGGCTACTATGCCACCAGGCAAATCCGTAATTCCCCCCCCCCCCC